ACAAGGCAGGCAACTTGTGCACAACAATATCAGTGCTGCTTGAACCAATGACCTCCTGATTCAAAGGCACTAACTGCGAATCAGCAGGTCATTGGTAACAGTGCTACTAACTGAGCTGGGCAGACACCACATTATCATTGGTATTGAAATATCACCATTGCCAACCAAGGCCAGTGGCAAGGATTCATGACTTTTGAGTGCAATTTAGTGATGTAATAATTATCACTGGTGATGTTGCATGTTGTGTTCTTGCTCCCCACTCTCTCCCTTCCACACCTACCCACACTTCATTGTGATCAAGATACCTGACTGTTCAGTGCCCAGGGACATCCTCCCGACGTGAAAGGCGTTATACAATTTTAATATTATAAGAAATGACTGTTAAAGTTGATGTTAGTTTCTGAGACAACTGCACTATTGCTGCTGAATCCACAGTAGTGGTCATTGGATTATGAAGATAGAGCATTACCGCTACATTCATTCGGTCATTGGCTAAGTGGTTTGATCACTTGCCATTAATGAGTGTTTGGCCCAATCCCAAATTACAGTTACATACACTGAACTGAAGCCAACAGCAATCAATCTGACAAACAATTCGTCCGGGCATATACAATCAGATCCCATCCCACGATGTGGCATCTCAAGCACAAATAAAACTTCTGCTGCATAGTTTTGGTTGCCTTTGTACAAGTTTAATGAACATGAAATAGCTGTTCGGCACAATGAGACCTTGCTAATAGTCTCCTGAATCCAGTTGCACTGTCCATTAACAGCTCTTCTCTACCACATTCCAAGCAGCATTTCATGCTGCCCTGCCCCCAGAAACCAAGACTTACTGATGAGCCAGACTGGCTGGTCAGTCATCACCAGCGTCCTGGAGTCCTGCAGACCCATCTGGCTGAGGAACCGGTCTAACAAGACCACCGCAGATACTTACATATCCCTTGATATTTGAGCTTTTATCCTATTGTGAGCAATTTACCTTTTCTGCCCCCAGGTGAAAGAATGAATACCTATTTTAAAAATAGTGAGCACTAGCGAGATGTAATTGTGCTCTCACATAATGTATGACATCGGTGAACAACACCAGCAGAATTTTTTAAAAAATATTCCATATTATGGCAATAATACTGGATGGGCGACTGTGGAGGGCAGGCAGCAATTCAGTCTCAGAGCTCAGATGATTGATCACTTAAGTTTCATCGTGTTCACCAGTATGTGTCATCTGACCCTCTCAATTAGATTACTATCTTGTAATCCATCTCACTCCTCCAGTACCCCCTATTTAATTGAACAATCACTATATCTTCCTGTTCCCTCCTACCTCTCCGACCTACTATCCCCCTACCTACCTGCCCGTACCCTCCGTTCCTCTGGCTCTGGTCTGCTCCACATCCCCCGCCCCAACCGCCCTACCATCGGTGACCGGGCCTTCAGCCTCTCAGCCCCGAGGCTCTGGAACTCTATCCCCCAGTGCCTTCGCCGCCTCCTCCCTTTCCTCCTTCAAGGCCGCTCTCAAGACCTTTCTCTTTGACCGTGCCTTCAGCTCCCCTCTCGACTCTCTTCCCCCTCCTCGCTCCCTCCCTTCCCTCCCCTCACCCTGACCATTTCCCCCCAATGCTCGGGTCCTGACCCAACTGTACAGCGCCTTGGGACGTCCTCCCGACGTGAAAGGCGCTCTATAAATGGAATCTTGTTGTTGTTGTTGTTGTTCTCTTGCGCGACATCCAGCGTCGCTATTCTACAGTAGTCACAACCACACAGGGACAATGGATGTGTGGATACCATATTTTTGCTCTTTGTTCTGTCACAAATGATAGAAAGGCAAAATACAACATGATATACATTTTTAACACTTTTTGGAATCACAAATGGGTCCAAATCAAATTTCATGCCGGTAAAAAATATAATAATACCTCACATTATATCACACACATTATGTATCAAAGTAATATTAAAATATGTAAAAATAATAATACTTAATGGATCTTATATTTCTAAATGAACTGACCAGAAAAAGATTAAATTGATCTGCAGAATAATATCTCAATTAGCTTCTGCAAATGGTTATGGATTAATAATTAATCAGTACCAAGTAAAAAGCCTCATTTTTACCAAAGCTGTTAGTGCCATTGATATCTTAGGAGCACAATTGGCAGATTGCTTTTCCGGGGGTAATAATATCTTCAAACAAATAAAGTAATAATAATAATTTGGTCACTCAATCCATGACTGTTTGTGGGACACTGTTGTATATACAGTCAATTCACTTTGCAGGATATTCTGTGAAGCGGTTTGAGGCATCCCAAAGTTGTGATAAAGCATTATATCAAATACAAGGAATATTATTAAAATACTGAAGCCTACTTTTTACTGCCTTTAGAATCATTATACAAATCCTATTCATAGCTACATCAAACTGTAACACAAAATAAATGTACATACATCACTTGTAACAAAGGAATCACAATAATAACATTTTACTTCCCTGAGTACTTCTAAATTGCTGCAGTGCATTCCTCACATTTCCACACTGTACCCCAAACCTGCAGTTCCATTCCTTTACCAAATGGTGTCCTACGTGACTTGAACTCGAACACAATAAAACACTCACGCGTTTCCTGGTGAGCTGTGCTGATCACCTGGAAGCTTGTAGGGAGTTCATAGTACCTGCTGTACACCAAGTGAGTTGCTGGATGGCAAATGATCAATTATACTCCTGAGTTGGGGGGTGGGGCAGAGGGGAAGGAGAGGTAAGTGTGGTCTCCTTGGAATTGAGTTGGCTCCAAGGTGATGTTGGAATCACATCAACTGTCTGGCAGTCTTGGTAGTCCAGTTCCTGAGCCAACTGTGTTCCCAGTACTCCAGGGCATTGTTGATAATAGACCAGCTAACCTGACTCATTGGTAGAAATGGAGTGGCAGACCAAACACTGGGAGTGGGTTTTTTTTTTCCATCTCAGCTCCTGTTAATCCTGCAAGTCAAATCCCTAACAGTAAGTTGGTCCTAGCTGGACAAGTTGTACAATGCTCCTCTGCATGCTTAGGAGCTCAGAACCATGAGCTCAGACAAATTTGTACAAGATCTTGTTGAGACCACATTTGGAGTGCTGTGTCCAATTCTAGGGTCTAATTTAGGTTACTGCTATCAGGATAGACCGGATAGATTAGGCCTTTTTTCGTTAAGAGTAGACATTTACATTAGAATATACAGCACAGAAACAGGCCATTCGGCCCAACTGGTCAATGACGGTGTTTATGCTCCACATGAGCCTCTCTCTTCCTGCCATTCCTCAACTAAGTCTTTAAGCATAACCTTCTATTCCTTTCTCCCTCATGTACATATCTAGCTTTCCCTTAAATACATCTATACCATTTGCCTCAACAACTCCTTGTGGTAGCATGTTCCACATGCCCACTACTCTCTGTGTAAAGAATTTTTTTTAACTTCCCTATTTGATCTACCTGTGACTATTTTATATTGATGGCCCCTGGTTTTGGTCTCCCCCACAAGTGGAAACATCTTCCCTATGTCTACCCTATCAAAACCTTAAGAGGGGATCTAAAAGAGATTTTTAAAATTATAAATTGGTTACAGACACAAATATAAGATAGCAACTAGGGGATGTAAAAGATAATTTAGGAGGAACTGCTTCACACAGAGAGGTAGTGAAATTGTGGAACTCACTGCTTGAAGCAGTAGTTGAATCAGAGTTTAGATGCATTCAAGAGGAAGCTAGACCTTCACATGAAGGAGAGAGGAATAGGAGGGTTTTAGAGGGAGTAAGGAATGAGTGAAGAATCTTGTGGGATATAAACACTGGCATAAAATGGTTGGGCTGAGTGGCCTGTTTCTGAGCTGTATATTCTTTGTAAATGAAGGAAAACAGATCTTATATGCTCCGAATTTGACATCCATTGAAGAGAGATAAGTATGACCAGATAGCTCTACGCCCATTCTCAGTGCAGGAGATTGTCTATGACACTGGGGATCTAAAGCAGGAATCAACAAAATGCTTTGGCATGTATTGGAAGCCAAATATCACTTATCAGGATTGAAAAATCGCTTATTCTGGTTCAAAAATACAATCGTTTTTGATGTCATTGTCAAAAGTAAAAGCTCAATTTGTTACGTGTGTTTGCGCTGAATATTGCGATTCCGTTTGCTGCAGTTCCGACCGCTCGGCTGTCAAGTCTTGAACGGGTCCCAAAACAATTTGGGCCATTCAACCCACGACTCTTTGGGGAACACTGCTGCGCTCAATCGGCTGCCATGCTTCCCCCCCACAAAATATACAGCCAATCCACGCTGCGGTATATTTCTGTGAAGCGCCTTGAGACGTCTCAATGACGCGATACGGTGCTGTACCAAACGCAAGCGTCGTATCATTTTGTTTGCCGAGCGGGTCGGCTCAGAAAAGGCTCGACGGCATAGTAATCATTCCCAGCTTGCGGTACAGAGCGCGTATATTTTTTTTTCTGGGCGAACGGGGTCCTTGGGGCGGATTCGATCACAATCGTTGACCAGAGTACCGATCCCCATCTTTATCCCTAATTGCAGCACCAACGCGAGGAGCTGTGTGGCTGGTGCTGTGTGTGCATAACAAACTGCTCACACAGACTGCACCAGCCATGCACTGACTGCAGCTGACACCCCCCCACCTCCCACCAAGAGGGGGCGCACGCGCACAGCGCCTGTCACTCACTCACTCACTCACTCACTCACTCACTCACTCACTCGGCCGCGCACGCGCCCTCCGCTCTCCCGGTCTGGGCGGCACTGCTGCGCAGACTCGGCGGCGGCGGCGGCGGCGGCTTCCGGTAGCGGTTGGCGGAGCAACGAGCGGCGCGCGCAGAGGGACGGCGGCGCGAGGCGCTCGCGAGAGCAACGGGTCGGGTCCCCCCGCGAGTCACGGGCGAGCAGCGGAGTTGATTTGAATCGTCGCGGTGGGTGTTGACAGAGGGTAACCGTCGCCGTGTGCTGTTGGCGCGCGCGCGCGTGGTGTGTGTGTGTGTGTGTGTGCGTGAGATGGTTGGTCAGCGACACCTGAGTAACTGTCACTGTCAGTAACAGCCTTCGCTGTGCTGACTGAATGGCCGCCGTCACTGCGGGTGGGTGACCGACTGACTGACTGACTGTGCTGAATGGCCGCCGTCACTGCGGGTGGGTGACTGTCCGGCTGATGGTCCGTGTTTATGAGCTAATCTGTCGTGAGAAAACTCGCCTCCGAGTTAGAGGATTGTGAGTTGGAGCCCGACATTGAGACTTGCAATGATGACACAGTGTGAGCTGAGACCCCAGTGCGGTGTGGGGTGGGGGGTGTGGGGTGGGGGGGATGTGGCTTTGTCGGAGGTGCCATCCCCTCGGATGAGATGTCAATCCCAGGTCCTGTCTGTGCCTCTTCAGGTGGATGTTAACATTCCCGCGGCGTTATTCGCTCGCCTCCACTGGCTCCCCATCCCCCAGAGGATTGATTTCAAGATCCTCATCCTCACCTACAAGGCCATTCACGGCCTTGCTCCCTCCTACCTCTCTGACCTACTATCCCCCTACCTACCTGCCCGTACCCTCCGTTCCTCTGGCTCTGGTCTGCTCCACATCCCCCGCCCCAACCGCCCTACCAGCGGTGGTCGGGCCTTCAGCCTCTCAGCCCCCAGGCTCTGGAACTCCATCCCCCAGTGCCTTCGCCGCCTCCTCCCTTTCCTCCTTCAAGGCCGCTCTCAAAACCTTTCACTTTGACCGTGCCTTCAGCTCCCCTCTCGACTCTCTTCCCCCTCCTCGCTCCCTCCCTTCCCTCCCCTCACCCTGACCATTTCCCCCCTCCTCGCTCCCTCCCTTCCCTCCCCTCACCCTGACCATTTCCCCCTCCTCGCTCCCTCCCTTCCCTCCCCTCACCCTGACCATTTCCCCTCCTCGCTCCCTCCCTTCCCTCCCCTCACCCTGACCATTTCCCCAATGCTCGGGTCATGACCCAACTGCACAGCGCCTTGGGACGTCCTCCTGACGTGAAAGGCGCTCTATAAATGGAATCTTGTTGTTGTTGTTGTTATTCGAAAGGAGAAGGGCGTTTCTCCCCGGGTTCTGGCGAACATTCCCCCCTAATAAAGTTGGTCACTCGTCCCGTGGCTGTTTGGGGTACATTGCTGAGCGCGACCGGCTACTGCGTTTCGCCCACAAAATATACAGTCAATCCACTTTATGTTATACCATGTGAAGCACTTTCAGACTTTGATAAGTCGCTATATCAAATGCAGGGATAATTATTATTATTAACAATCTTCACTCTAAATCTACAAAGAAACCTTATAAACCTTCTGGGGACAAGACATTGTGTTTGCTTTGTTGCTATTAGCAATGTGGGATGGAGCTGAATCAGCTCGGGAGCCATCTGTGACCCACTGTCTTCAGTTATTTTCCCAATTAATCACTTCTCATAATGACAGGAATTGTAAATAATAATAATAATAACAATCCTTGCATTTGATATAGTGCTTTTCACGTCGGGAGGACGTCCCAAAGCGCTTCACAGAACACTGTAAAGTGAATTGACTATATTTGTGGGCGAACGCGGCAGCCAATTGCGCACAGCAATGTCCCACAAACAGTCGTGGATTGAAAATGACCAATTTATTATTGTTTGGTTTTGGAGGGATTATTATTAGGCTCTGTGTGGAGTAAGGAAACTTGCCCAAGGTTTCGCCCTCTGCCTGGAATTGAACTCAGGTCTCTCACTTGCAAAGCGAGTGCTCTAACCACTGAGCTACAGGACTGCACCTACACCTAAAATAAATGGAAAACCATTTGGTGAATAATTGTTTGAAACAGTTTGCGCTAAAATTCGAGTGTTTGGGGACTATTTGTTGGAGTTGACAATGTGGAGCTTAATTTACTTTAAGTGTCTTGTCATTTTTATTTTTATTCCATCCAGCCTTTTTATACCTCACGTATTAACTTTAAAATTTTGTATTATTTTTACTTTGACTAAGTTGTTCAAATGTTTCTATTTACTTTTAAGGTTCAACAAATGTCTTACTACATTGATTTTAATCTGTGTGATCAGATCATTTAAAGAAGTGAAAAAATGAATAGTCAGGTCACTTCCAGGTTCAGACAACTGTGTCCCTTAAACCCCGAAAAATATGAAAAATTCCATCGACTGCTATGAACAAACTGGGTGACTGGACTCAACAAATTTTCAAAAGTAGCAAAAATGTCTCTCCATCCAGATTGTGGGGTTAATGGCACGTGGTTAGCAATTTCATTCTGAAATGCCACAAGCGCATGGCTGGCAGAACTGAGGAATAGAGAAGACCTGATGAGCAATACTATTGTTGGAAGCCAGGATTGAGTCAGTAGGAAATGTTTGGCTGACGTAGTGAAATGAGCAGAAAGAAACAGGAAACCTAGAGTGAAAACATCCATTTGGTGCAGGAGAGGATAAAGGTTGTGGAATGAAACTTTATGAGGCTATTATAAGACAGGCACAACATTTTTTTTCATTTTTTTTGCTGAATCATTTACCTGTGGAATCACTTTAAAGACCGTAAACAAGAATTTGGAACAAGGTGGAAAATCATACACTATGCTATGAGTACCCGTAGTGTATAATAGCATAGTGTATAATTTTCCGATTTTCCAGCATTCCCCATCAACAATTTCTTCTTCTTTTCATTGGTACTTTCTATTCTGAGTTACTGGAAGTAATGCAGTAACTTGTACTTCATTTACACTACAAGCCTACCCCTGATGTAACTGATGACATTTGTACTGGTCAATTCCAATCACACTGACAGAATTAAATTATCCTCTCCTTGGCTTTAAGAGTCCTGTGAGTTAGGGTCGCAGAACAACAGTGCCCACTTGGAGTAATAATCCCTTCAAAAAAATAAAGAAATAATAATTTGGTCACTCAATCCACGACTGTTTGTGGGAAACTGCTGTGGGCAATTGGCTCCCGTGTTTCGCCCACAAATATGTAGTTAATTCAGTTTTCAGTATAATCTGTGAAGCGCTTTGAGACATTGAAGATGTGATAAGGGGCTATACCAAATGCAAGGATTATTATTATTATAGGTGAGATTTTTAGGGAAATAAAAATAACTCGGTGGTCCTCAGTCTGAGACACAGCATTAGGGCAGAGTGAGCTTCAAGCTACGTCTGAGAATGTAGCTTGCCCCTGGGCAGTAATTGGTAGGCCTTGAACAAACTGATTTCATATTACAAGCCCCAAAAAAGTAAAATTGTATGAATGGATGTCTATCTGAAGTTCAAACTTGTTCACTTCTCAGGATTGAATTCTCTTCACTGAGTGACTCCAAAAAAAATACAACTAATCTCTTCACTTCTCTTTCCCCCTCCCCAACAGAAAATAAATTAGGTCAAGTTCATGGTGGGGTATGTGACTAATTTTGAAGTGTAAAGCTATCAAGGTTTTTTTTATTTTACGTATAAGGCAATTTTAAAAAATCTATTCCTGGTTTGGCTCTCTGAATATTTACTCAGAATGGTTTTGAACATGGAAGACACAATTGCTATGCATATATTATATTGCAAGATTTAATAAGTTAATTTTTTTCACTTTTTTCCCCTCTGATTCTCTCACCAGAAAATGATTGGTTTAATTTGGCATTACCTGTATAACTCTTTTCTAAGATCTTGGTTGAAATGGATTTTACGGAAGATAACTGGAACATGTGAACTGCAGCGTATTTTAGCTGGCAGCTCTCAAGGAGCAGAGAAAACTATGAAGATAGGTATGTATTAATGCAAGCCTTTCACATCCATTCATACAATTTTACTTTTTTGGGGGTTGTAACATGAAAGCAGTTTGTTCAAGGTCTACTAATTACTGCCCAGGGTCATGCTAATAGATGTTCTTTAGCATCTGAGCATCGCTGCAATCTGACAATGTTGTGATGTAGCTCTAGCTTATTGAGGTGGAGAGAGCAGTAGAAAGGTAATCGAAATCAGAGGTCTGTAAGCATTCTCGGGAGCCATGCACAAGTCAGTCAATTACCTATTTGTTCAGTCAATCTGAATGCCTGTTATTATATTTTTTATAAAATGTTAGTTTCTTTAAAAAATTCTGTTCTATGTTTAAAGAGAAGCCTGTTTATTGAGATATTATGTCAGGATGTTTGACAAAAATACTGAATTTAATAATTGTCTTTTTTTAATAGAATATTCGTTGGTATCCTCCAAGAGTGACGTAAGTAAAGTTCAGCACTGTCTGTATGCACAAGCAGACATCACAAATTATTTTTCTTGATTACTAAGAAAGGATCAGTATCCAAAATCAAAACAATTGGAGTCACTGGACCTTATAATGTATATTAACAAGTTTTTTTGTATAATCTGGGTAAATCTTTGAAGTATTATTTTGTGACAGTCCAGTATTTTCCCCCTTCCCCTTTTATTTTGATTTTATTTCAAAAGTTAAGTTCAAACCAAAATATCTAACGCATTTCAGGAAGTTTCACACAACAAATGTACCGTTTGTACTGTATTTAAAATCTACCTGGTTTGCAATGTAAGTAGTCCATAAGTTTTTCTTTGACAAAAGTAGCAGGTGGACGCCAAGCTGACAGACCTTCAGAAGGTATGGAGACTGCCATCAATATTTGCCATCCTGATTTTGCCATTTGTTGATTATATTTGTGAAAGAGTCAGGTGGGGAGAAAAGGAGAGTTGATCCTTTGAAAGAACTGAACCCAACAAATTCTTAGATAATTAAACATTAAAATATTAAGTAATCATTGCATTATTTAATCATTTGAACAATGATATAGGTCCTTATCATGTCATCGAGATATCTCAATGCATTTCACAGGAGTTTACTGTGAGGTCTAGTGACTTTGTTTTTTGCAGGTCATTGTACTAAAAAGATTGAGCTTATTGAAATGCCACTTCAGTATTTACACGGGTAAAAATGAGGCAAATGATATTTTTAACACATTTAGACCAACACACTATAGGTTATCATTCCAGGTTAGGAATATAAACTGGAAGCATTTGCTAAAATGGCATGTCAAAGGGAATATTTATGTTTTGGTCTTCATAGATCCTATATCTTGCACTTGAGCTAATAAATGTTTGCACAATTTTCTGATGACTTAATAATTTTTAAAAAATTAAAATAGTATCTTGTCGTTTTGAAATTGCTCATACTTTTTCTGTGAAGTGTAGTGATTCAATTTATAGATGATTGTGATAACAAATGTGCATAGAGCAATGTCCCGTAAATGAAGTTAATGACAAATTTTAAAATTATATTGGGGATTGCTGGCTAGGACACTGGGATAAATTCTGCTCTGGTTTGAATAGCACCTTGGGATCTTCACTGTCCACCTAAATAGGAAGATGGGACCTTGATTTAATGTCTCATCCAAACTTCGACAGTGCAGGGCCCCCAACACTGGATTAGAGTACCATTTTAGACTAGGTTCTCAACATCCAATTGTGAGTTAGCAGTGTTCGAAGAAGAAAAGATTCAAGAAAAAAATCTTAATTTCAAATTGATTTTCTAAAAGAAAACATAATGCAACTATTTTATCCAGTAACCATATTTTTTATCATTTTCCATTGGGCAACCAAAAATGCTGCTTATAGTGACTTTGTGTTGAACATTTTTTTTTCTAAACTGACTGCCTTTTTTCCCACCTAGGTTTTAAGAACTTCAGTGACTGTCAGTGAACGGGGGATGGCAACTCGGGTTTGTGACATAATGGGTGTCAAAAATATCACCCCCCAAAAAGATCCGAAGTAGGTGTGCATAGCCTTCTCAAATCAGATAATGTGAACCAATCTATTGAAAGTTGATTTACCGACCAATTGATAAGAAGCACCAAATAAGTTAAATGCAGATTTTGAATTTTCATTTTGTATATTTTAGGATTTCAATTTCTTGAAAATAATTAAATTCTATATTTGTAGGTTTAAGTTATGTCTGCAGATCTGCTTGCTTCAAATCTCAGGCTATAACACATTATACACTGACTCAGAAAACTTAAGAAAACAGTCATTTGATTCTGCTAATGTCAAGCATGAAGATATGCTGATGAAGGTATGTTTTCCCTATTGATTTGGTATTTACCAGGACATCCTTTTAACTAAAGAGTATATTATTATACAAGTCCTGGAGTCCAGTAACTTAGTGGAGAGTCGCAAGCGAGAGAACATGCATTCGTTTCCTGGGCAGAGCGAAATGTTGGGCAAGTTTCCTTAATCCATACGCCTCTGTTTACCTAGCAGTAAATTGGAACCTGGTTGTTAGTCGATTGGTGGATTGCTTTTCCGGGCATAATAAAACCTTCAAAAAAATAAAATAAATAAGAATAATTTGATCACTCAATCCACAACTGTTTGTGGAACACTGCTATGCGCAATTGGCTGCTGCATTTCACCCACAGAATATACAGTCAATTCATTTTAAGTATATTCTGGGAAGCGCTTTAGATGTCTCAAAGACGTGATAAGATGCAATATCCAATGCAAAGATTATTATAATGCGCTATCATGTTAATGTCTCTTAAGTGCTTAACAAATAATTGTCTAATGTAATGGCTGTTTTTATTAGCAAGTATTATAACAGTACTTTTTTTGTCCATCTTCTAAGACTACATTTTTGTGAATAAAGCTATGTGGTTTTAGCTGGTTAGATTTCAGCAGTATCCCAACGCACACTCTGGGGTCCTCAAGCCTTAGCTCTTGCCAACCTGCACCTAATATTTTCCAGAATGGTGTAAGAAGGATGTGTCCCTCCAGGGAGAGAGTGCGCTTCCATTCCAACAATCTATCTCTGGAATTTCCATGTGTAGGTGGGATGCATGGAAATCTCAACTTAGTTAGGACACTCCTAAGCATAGTAATGGGTTTCTACATGTGTCAGATACCCGGCTGAACAAAAACATTTGAGAATAAAAAAATAAATTGTTGGCAATGTGTTTGTTCTTGAATGTTTGTGAATTTGGGTTTTTTCTGTGCTTAAAGTAGGGCTACTTAATTGCGTATGAGATTTTGTTCACTGTAAATGGGGAAAAAATGTAAGCAATGCTTACAAATTGTGCTTGGCTGATGAACACAAAGTAAACATTCAAGATTGTTCATTTTCAAACAAAAGTATAGCACTCTCATCCCTATTAATAGTATTGTGTAGCTTCTGTTTGCGAAAGTATAAAAATTCCACTGAATGGTTAGAATGAGAATTTTTAAAACAAATTTGATAATGAAAGAAAAGATTTTTTCTGGTAAAAAAAAAAGTTGTCCAGATGAGTACTGGCTAACATAAATCCCCTTAGCCAGTGAAAAATGCAGTACTATGTTTAGACATTTTCTCTTCCATTTTTGGGGGGTTTCCAGGTTTATGGATGGATAAACTGCTCCTGGATGTCTGGAAGTACTCAGTATATGAAAATGTGCTCAAGAACAAGAGAAGTCCAGACTTACTAAGACATCACTCCTTACATTAATGGCACATGCTTTATGTGGCTCACAATTTTATTGTAGTGTTTTTTTCCCCTTCCCTCTAACTACCTTTCCTCTCATGAAAGTGCTGAATCTGTGGCATTCTCTTCCACACGTACTAGGCAACCTCTGGTATTTTACTTGTGTGGGCATTCATCAATGTGAGCCTGTGAGCTTTTTAGCCATAGGGTGCATCAGAACCAAGCTTAAACCTGTCCGAACTTAACATCCACATACAGCACATCTTCCAGCAGAGGTCTCTGGATCAATTGGGAATGCAGGCTGTGATTTTGTAGCCCAAGGTGCAAATGCTTTACTTTGTGCCATCCAAAATCAGCCAACTCAACACAAACCAGGATTGAACCAGAGAACTTCTGTGTATCGCTTGTTCCACACGAGACAATGGCTGTACCACTAAAGCAATTTGGGTGACTTAACAAAAACATTTGTCAGCAAAGCTTTTAACAGAACACTGCATATTTACAGCTGGTGTATTGATTGCTTAGAACAATTGTGAATCCATAATAAAACAAAGTTGAAATATTGTAGTTATATAGGTGAAAAATAGCTGAGTTGAAGATGTTCCCATTTGATATTTAATAAAACGTGATGTATTGAGTGATGCAAGTGGAAATCTGAATCAGATGTCATCTAAGCCACAGGAGCAATGAATGGTAGGCCAGAACCAGTATAGAAAAGTCTTCAGAAGGAATTTGAGGGAACTCTGAATAGCAGTATGTTAGGGTCACATGATTTTCTATCAATGTGGTGCACAGGATTACTAGATAGTTTAATTTACAAGCTTTTCTTTCAGCAATAATAAAAATAATAATCCTTGCATTTGATATAGCGCCTTATGTCGTTGAGACGTCTCAAAGTGCTTCACAGAATATACTGTAAAGTGAATTGACTGGATATTCTGTGGGTGAAAAGCTTTGGTAGTAAAATGTTTGCAATCTATGCCTGCCCATGTTCATAATACAGCATGGGTATGGTCAGTGGCCTGCTTAAGCAGATGCATGCTCTTCTAGGCAACACTCAAGGATGACAGGAGAGAATATCAAGAAGGATCATGGTGGCTGACCTTATAGTATTGCTTTTAAGTAGGTTCTGCAGAGAGTTCCAGCAACAAATGACCACTCTTCCTGCTCAGATGCTTACTGTAGATTCCCATCCCCTGACAGCAGGTGTCAGTTACTGTATCAATTCCTCTCCAACTTCTTGCCCACATCTCACAAAGTCCTTTTGATTCCTTCTCTTCCTTGCATGAGTGATCTAACCTGGCATTTTATTATTTTATGGGTATTAGTGCTCGCAATAGCTTGTGGGCAGCTGATGAACTATATTTGGCTGGTTAGCTTCTCTTCCCGATCACTTCTCACAATCAATTAAGGGCTCTGGGACACTATATTGCATGAGAGGCATTATATAAATACAAATTGTTGTAGCAATGGCTTCTCACTCATTTTTACATACTTTACCAGAATACTTTCATTTATTACGTATTTGCCTGTTACTGCTGACCCTGGTCCTTGTTTCCTAATAGAAATTGTAATCTTCCAAAAGTTTAATTTCAAAGACTGAACAAAATTGAGTAATGCTCGGTTAACATTTTGGCTTTAGTCTTAGGTCACCTCAGACAGCCTTGAAACCGAACTATGTTCTATTTGAGTAAAGGAATCGGTGTCTGGCTTTGAAATGTTATTCTGTATGCACTGGTTATTTCATTATCTTGTATGGATTTTATGGCAAAGAGCCATAATTCTAATTATATGTTTCGTAATTTTCAGCTATGGAATATACTGATGCCTCGTATACACCTGGAGTCTAGAATCACCAAGCAATGGAGTGACATTGGTTTCCAAGGCGATGACCCAAAAACTGACTTCAGAGGCATGGGAATGCTAGGGTTATACAATCTAGTGTAAGTTTACGTAACTTTTTACAGTGGTAATACCTGGCAAATAACTCAACGTGTTAGTTTCAAATATCCTAAATGTGACAAATAGTTTCAGATGACTCACCTTTTCAACAAAATACACTTTAAAATACTTGATAAGTACATCTGTGTATCTGACCTAGAAAACTGCTTGGATACCAGTCTACCAAGACATTAGCAGTACTCATATGTCTTTTGACCTTGATGTCTCGTGCTCTAGAATTTGGTCCGTGTAAGTTTTCCCCACTTTTCTTTATTTGTTATATTTATATTTATTTCTATTTTTATTTGTTGTTTTGTTTGCACTCGTGATGTGATCGTGTTTTGTAAGTGCCGTATACATAGGTTTTTGAAAGGAACGGTTCTGAAGCGCTCTGAGATGCTGTCTGGCATGGAGGGCGCTAGTTGTTGTATTAGTTACAAATTTATTTAATGTTTTAATCAGTTTCATCAGTAAAAGAAACGTTAGTAATGTAAGTCTTGTTTACTTGGGGATAGCTCCCACTGTGACTCTTATTAAAGGCACTGCCTATTGTGTAAATGAGCCATGTGGATCTGGAAAGTGCCAGTTTTGACTCCAGGTCTATGTTGAGTTAGCTGAGTTGGGGTGTGCACAAGTAAAGTGCAAGATGTCTATTGTCTAACTTTCTTAAATAGATATTTTAAACCATTAAATCTTAACAGACTTCAGTTAATGTACTGTAATTAAAATCCCCTTAGATACTTTGGTGAACATTACACAGAAGTGGCTCGTCAAATCCTTTCTCATTCAAATCACCCCAAAATAGGGTAAGTACAAAGTGTGTTGTATTTAATACTTTCTCATTCAAATGTAGAAAAGTGGTGCCTTTCACTGACCGGCTCAAATTTTGGTGATTAAACCATTCAGTATTTCAACATTTCCGACTTATGGATAAGAATTTACAGTGAAATATCTTGATATAAAATTTTAATTATGTACATAATAGCTATTTTGGGATCATCAAAAATCCAAAAGACTCATTTATTTGTTTTAAAGCTAGGAAGTTTCAATAATATAGCATCACTACCATCATAACACTTATTTCAATACTTATTTCTTGTGACCATCCTAATACTTTAAAGTACTAATAATCCTTACATTTGATATAGCAGCTTTCTCATCAGGAGGATGTCTCAAAGCACTTCACAGCAGTGTATGCTGGAAAGTACAGTTGACTGTTTTTGTGGGCAATTTTAAATAATTGAATCAGTTATTCAGCGCAATGTATGTGACTTTTAATTGAGGAAAACTAACTTCATTTCAAAATTGGCATAATTATATCCAATCCAGAGTGGATGCTAATATATTTTGTAAAATTCTGCCATTACAATAACCTTAAAAATGTTTAATTAGTCATCAAATGCTTTGGCTAATGGGTTCAATAGGCATTATTTCTATTCATTCCCTGATACCAGTAGAATTAGCTATTTGCTAAAATCTTGCAAAGATATACATACAGTTTTGTACACTGTGCTGCACAACTTGAAGTGTTTTCCCCTCCATAGCCAGTAATTGAAAAAGCTAGGATAACCTTCTAACAGCACACGCACTGCCAGATTAGTTTGAAGTATTAGTTTCCATAAAACAAACTGGTATTGTTTTGACTGCCCTGATATGTCACCAGAGTCTCAGAATATCAGTGTGTACTCAAAACGGCATCTCTGGAGAGCAAGATATACTAATAAAGTGCGAGATGTCTCTTGACGGATAGGAGAGATTTGTTTTAAAAATACAGTATCTCCGGCCTTTCATTCTACTTTAAGATGATCTCAGCTTCTGTATACTATTATGTTTTATACAATTTCTTGCAGTATTTCATAAGCACAGGAATATAATTTGCTGTGTAAATTTATTGTTTAATGTTGTTCCTTACATTTGTTTATGATGTGCTCTATGTTCCAGATATTCCTATGCTATAGTTGGAATAAATCTCACTGAAATGGCTTACAGCTTGCTGAAGAGTGGTGCACTAAAGGCTCATTTCTATAACCTGGTCCCTGGAGTTCCTCAGATGCATCATTTTCATCAGTTTTATTGTGAGTGCTTTAAAATGTTCCCATTCAGAGTCTTAATTTATTCTATACTAAACACATTATTTTCAGTCATTTGATGGGATTGATTTTGATTTGCCTATAAAGAAACAGGATTAGGCAATTAAGCTCCTTGAGCTGTTCTGCCATTTTATAAGATTATGGCTGATCTGTACCTTAAGTCCAGTTACCTGCCTTGCCCCATATCCCTAAATATGAAAATCACTGAAAATTTTCATGTTTCAAATGTTCATTTTGTTCTGTTTACTCCAAACTTGTTTTTTTGTATCATAGGATGATATGTGGCAACGCTAATGTTGAAAAGAATAGGAGAGAGTTTGAAAAGTAGGGGAGAGGGGAAAACAACTCAGAGGATGGTTAGATGATGCCAAGCTTTAAAAGACTGTGGGTTATATGAGGAAAGGAAGACTGATGGTGTTACTAATAATATAATAATAATCTTTACATTTGGTATAGCACCTCATCATTTAATTGAGATGTCTCAAAGGGCTTCACAGAATATACTGTAAAGTGAATTCACTGTATATTTTCTGGATTAAACTAATTTTATATTTTAGGAGTGTTAAGGAATTAAATAATAATTGTTTGAACACGCATCCAAGTATTTGCTCAGAAATGACAAAATAACACTTGTTTATTTACTGCATATTACTGTAACGTGAGTACTGACCTCCCGACGTGAAAGGCACTATACAAAAGTAATTTTGTAAAGTTGTTGTTGTAACAATGACCTGAGGTAGTCGTCTACTCGCTTGGGTACAATTATTGTAAATATTTAGATCTTCAAGACATATACTCGATTTTTTTTAAATGGCAGAGTGAAGAAAAAGCCTTATGTACCCAAGTTTTGATCAATATTGATTTGTTTCTTTCAGGTTACCTGATGTACGAGTTTGATAAATTTTGGTTCAAAGAAGAGCCACAAAGCATCATGGAATTCAACCAATACAGAGAGCAATTCCATGAAAGAGTAAAAGAATTGTTGAAAGATCCCAAGGCAATGCTTACTCTGGAATTCAATAAATAAACAGTAGCAAATACATTCAGTATAACCAAGATAGAACGTGATACCAAGCAGAAGATGTTGGAAGAACACTGTTGATGAGGTCGTTTCACGTCTTTTTAAAAATATTTTATTAGTAAAGAGTGATGCAAGATTATGTGACTCCAATTCAGGATAAAGAGATTTTCGGTATAGGTACTATTGAAATTGCATTTCAGATTTATTTGTATTTAATGGTATAAATATGGATCATAATATTCAAATATAGTACAGGTATTTTGCAATTTTGTTTCATTATTAAAAGAAGAGTGTGCTTATGGGCCATTAAAATATATATTTCAGTAGAATGAATTTTAGCAGATTCTGACGTTTTCCTGTGGAGAACAACTTGTGGCTGAATAATCCATTAAATGCTTATTGCAAATTTATTTTTCTGTTAGCGCACAGACAATCAGAAACTCGTAAAGTTGTAATTTGTTTTAATATTATCATCCAGTGACATGACAGATCATTGTCAAGGAAGAAAATAATGCAGTGTTACCAGGGAGTAATCTTATTGAAGAGTTAACAACTGATATTTGAACTTTGATTAGATTACTTTCTGCATTCTTTTGTGGAGAGCTGTGTGGAAGTTGTTACTGACATGTATCCTGGTAGGTGTCAGCTAGGATTTTCCTTGTGGTTGATTTTTCTATGATTGTCATCTGAAAATCTTATCAAGCAGTCACAAAATCTAATCTCTTGTACACTAACTAATTAATTTCAAAAAAGTTTGTGATCTTACTTATTCAACAGTCCAATTTTAGGACACATGAGATATTTTTAAATTGTCAATGATATATGATGGGTTACTTGATAAATTTGCAGACTGCAGTACAAATAATCCTTCAATGTGGATACTGCCTTCAGCTACAGAGCTGAGGCCACACTATTCACAATGCTAATAGCATTCTTTCAGTTCATCATGTACATGCAACTGGAGTTATCTTTGTACTACATTGTGTAAAGTTTATATTTTGTAGAATACAATCAAACCTGTTTTCAGCAACCATTTAGGGGACTGGACTAAAGTGGCCTTTATATAAAGGTGGCCTCTGAGTAAGGGTTCGTTGTTGAGTGTAGTCCAAGTGTATAGAAAAGTGCAGGTCACAATCAAACCCACAATCAGAACTATTTTTAATAAAGTAATAAATCAATTACAAAATACAAATGGTTACGGTTTCTGGGGGGCCAAAATTTCCACAGGCCCAAACGTAGACACCGCTGGACTCCTAGTACGTACCAATACTGTGCTGAGCAGCCCACCAGGTCTGATCTGGTCATTGAAACGTGGGTCAGTAGTGACAGGACTAAATAAGAGTAGCCATTGATTGCATCAGACAGGTGGTTGGTGAATAGAGAGTTGTTTTCACAGGTTTGATTGTATTGCTAACAATTGGCAATAAATTCCAGCACCTTCCTGCACAATGGGGAATTAACAAATTGGCTGAAATTACATTTGTAATCTTGGAGCATTCACCTAAATTGGGATTATATGAATGGTGAAAACTTGCTAATTTTTTTGTCTGAAGTGAGATAAGGAAAAAAGCAGTCCTTTTGAAGTCAAATTTCATACCTCACTCAAGAAGTAAGGAGGAACATGTTTGTTTTCTATATTCTTATCTTGCTTCCTGTTGAGTATTGCTCATTACATGGTCAGCGATGTGATATTTTGTATTTATTACACGTTTAGTCTGGTTAAAACATTTGTTACTGTAAATTAATAAATTTATTGACAAAATGCTTGCTTTGAAAAGAAGATACTTTGACATTTGATGTTCATATAGATTTATAACAGATGGCCTTCCTAGTAAGTAAAAGAAAACTATTTTGCTGAAATAAATGATATCGTCAACAATTGATGATGCCTTGTATTAATCTTATTTATTTTTTCAAAGTGTGCACTGATTTTTTTTAAAGAGGATGTGTGTCTTTTATGTCCACAAACATAAATACAAACATTTTAAAGGCATAATAATCCCAAACTGCGTGTATAATTGTACGTTTCAACACATTATTATTAAAGATCTTCTTGAATATTTGGATTTGTAAGAATTCAGACAAGCTGGGCCATCAGCAGCAGCAGCCGCCCCCACCCCCTCCCCACCTCCCCAGTCACAGGATTGACTAGACTCCCAACACTCTGCTGTGAAACATGCTACTCTGGGACCAGCCCAGCAACAAGCAGACCCCACAGCCACCAGCCAGTCATCTGATGAATGCAGGTCCAAGCACCCCAGTAGGTGGAGGAAGGTGCTACCTGAAATTTGGGTTTGCATGCTCATATATCCAGAGCTTGATCTAGGTTGGAAATTTATTGGTGTGAAGCTGCTGTTGATGCTCCACACATCCAACTTATGGAAACACCTGCTCAGTGGGCAGACGTATGCATCAGGCTGTGGGAGGGAATATGGGGCCAATACTCTCTCAAGTGCAGCTAAACCAGAAACTTGCGATGAGTTCCTAATAACTGCTATCTACGTCATGAAGCCTTAAATCTGCCTTGCTGAATGTCAAATGACCAGAGAATGATTGTCCTCCTTTGGGTTGAGCAAGCTCCAAGGTGACATGCTTGACAACAGAATATTGGAATCAAGTCAATCCACTGTGACAGTCTCAGTCGTCAAGTTCTTGTGCCAGGTGGGTCTACAGTGCTCCAAGACACCATTGATAATACAGCAACCAGCCTGGATTGTCAGCAGGGCTTCGAGGAGATGAAGTCACAGGGGACAAAGATTTTTTACCACTTGGCTCCTGTTAACCTTACAAGACAATGCCTTAACAGTTTGACTGTTCAGCTAAACAAGCAGATGGAAGCTTACCAATTAATACTCATAATGGCAAGCTAAATGTGGTTTTTAATTGGTTAAACTCCAGCATTACCCAAATATATATTCTGGGGTCCCTAAGCCATGGCTCTCGCAAAGCTGAGCATACTATTCGGAATTAAGTGAGTAAGATGCATAAGTAAGTGGAGCTTGCCCCCCACAACCTCTGACTTGGAGGCGAGAATGCTACGAACTGAGCCAGACTGACACAGTGTAATGGCTTACACTGAGCAATGCAGCTTGATATCTGGGTTACAAAGCTTACTAGCTTAACTGCACAAACAAAAAGTGCTGGTATCACCTGAGATTCAGCGCCTTGGGATTTTCTCCCGACGTGAAAGGCACTATACAAATGTAATCTTGTTGTTGTTGACAAGGTGTTTTGCATGTTTTCCATTTTTAATCTAAACTGATTTTGTACATTTGAGCAACAGTTTTTGTTTACCAGTTAAATTGACCTGTCCTTTGCATGATTAGAATTCATACTTTGGAATCAGGGTAGGATAATAATAATAATAATAATCCTTGCATTTGATATAGCGCTTTTCACGTCGGGAGGACGTCCCAAAGCGCTTCACAGAACACACTGTAAAGTGAATTGACTGTATATTTGTGGGCGAACGCGGCAGCCAATTGCGCACAGCAATGTCCCACAAACAGTCGTAGATTGAAAATGACCAATTTATTATTGTTTTTGGTTTTGGAGGGATTATTATTAGCCTCTGTGTGGGAGTAAGGAAACTTGCCCAAGGTTTCGCCCTGTGCCTGGAATTGAACTCAGGTCTCTCGCTTGCAAAGCGAGTGCTCTAACCACTGAGCTACAGGACTCCACGTTAGGATAGACCAGTAGTCACAAATACCAAGGTTATTGATTAATGAGGGAAAAGCTTGGAGTCATTTCAGATTATTATCAACAGTAAATAAGTGCTCTGGGACACTACCCTGCATGAGGGACACTATATAAATGTAAGTTGTTGTTGTAAATAACAGATATGATCTCAGTACAGTGTTTAAGAAATGTTTAATAAAGTTGGCTGCACTAAAATGATCATTTTTGTTGGATGCACTACCGTTCTCTAGTCCAGCACTAAGATGTGGTAAAATAGATAGAATTGCTTTTTCTCTCCCTCTGGACCATTTTGAAGGTGCAGCAGGACAGCTTAGTTTCTAGCATATGTGCAGAAAGCATTTGAAGTCAAGTTAAAACTGGGATGAGAGCAGACATCGGTCTGCTTTTGCGTTAGAATCTTTCTCATGTGATTTCATTCAAATCTTTTTCTGACATCAACAGGGGTGGGATGAAGGGAAGTTCCTCAGCTCAACAACTGGATTGTAATGGCTATTGACCTCATTACCTCCTTCCTCCCAAAGGATAATTGCAGTGGATTGAACCAGTATTCAACGTATTTATGCTTATCACATTTCTAAATATTTGAAGTACAGCAAAGCAATAGAATTTGGGTTGATGTGTAACATACAATATTTTGGTAGTAAAATGCATTTATCAACACTAATTTTAATATAAAAAACACTTATAAAATAAATAAAACATTGTTATAAAGAATTGTTATTCAAGAATCAATGCAAAATATTGAGACAATTTCCAACAGACATGACTTTACGATATAATCAGTAACTCATCTTAAGCATTAAAGTGCATGTTTTCCAACAGTTTTTTTTTAAAAAAAACAGAATACAAAGCTGATTGGATAGTACCAACTATCCAACTACAGAGGAATAAAATATTAAAATAAAGTGCTTCACTTTTCATTCATAAGCTGGATGAAAGCATTTATCTGGAAAATACAGTAAACTCCTGATAACAAGACCCTAGTTTAACTTGTCACTACTACTAAAGTCGGCATGCTGTCAATGTCCCCGCCACTTCTCATGCAAAGTATTAATAAAGGACTTCGCTTTACTTGTTACTCCACTCAACACGTAACTAGTCACCTTCTACAAATTCTTGTAAGTACTTCCAATGTAAAATTGATGGAATAGATTGTCCTTTAAGGTGGCGGCTTGCATCGCAGAGGCCTCCCACATTATCCTGTGACTGGTACGGGGACACAGCAGAAGTTGGGCATACATGCTCAGATGCATCGCAGGGAAGCTCTGGTCTATTGGGGGGCCGTGCTCTGAGCTCCAGCCCCACCTACCTCTTTATCCTGTGAGAGGATAGGGCAGGAGACCACAACACGACCCTCAAACAGACCAGAGACCTCTGTGATGCCTTCGAGCATCCATGCCCAACCTCTGCTGTGCGTCCCCACTAGTCACACCGCCCCTTTGTGGCCTGGGAGGATCTATGCCTAATTCGTCACTGAGCCCTTTTCTCTTGGGTGGATGAGTTATCCAGAGTTTACTGTACTTCATGAAGCTTATAGCTATAAATTTATATAAACGGATTTATATTAGAATGGAACTGTCCATTGGAAGCAATTGATTTTGTCCAGGAACAAACTGAAATTAATATTGCAGAATATAGGAATAGGACCAGACTGAGATGAAAAATTACTTCATTAAACACATTAATTCATAACCCTGAGAACAATAGATCATTGGTTATTGTGAAACATCGCTTTCCATTCTTAAATGCTCTTATGCATGTTCGCTGTTCACTAATCCTCATGTTAAATAGTTTTCTTAAATATTGGAATTCCTTGTCAGACATGACCATATTTCTACCAGTTCTCAATGTCCACAACTGAGGCAGATTTAATGGTGCAGAGAAGTAGCTTGCATTTTGATGTTCCCTTTTTCATCCAAGGAATCATGTGGTACAGTCCACAGTTTGTCTAGTCATCATCATTGCCCTTTTCAGTTGTTCATAAGACACAAACATTATCACATTCCATGAGCCAAGGCGTAGATAAGAAGGAACAAACCTAAAATAGAAATGAATATTATATTAGGCCTACCACCTCCAGACAATAGATTATCACACCTTGTCAGTGAGTTGCACCATTCAAGTATGCAAGACTATTTGTGTAAATACCATGTACCATCGTTTGAATTGTATTACAGGAACACTCCTCAACTCAAGAAAGCCTGTGAATCTTGTAAATTCTTTTTAAATAAACAAAATAAAATATTTTTTTTAAAAATTGTGGTTCAATGTAGGTTTCCAAAATTTTTAGTGAAGTCTGATACTAAAAATCACCTTTAATTTTAGATTTGGCAAAATGTATCGAGTCTATCAAGCTTAAAATTGTCGGACTGGATTGAATGTACTGTACATGTAAATACACAGTACTGCTGTTTAAATTGGGGGAGTGGGGGGTGCACTTACCCTTTGTAGAAGGCTGTGGGTCCTTCTTTAATCAGCATGGTCCAGGCGCAATTGAGTGCGCTCTTATACTGTCCAGGTGAAGAGTTCATGTATCTTGTCTTTACAACATCAACAGGAGAAGCTATCACCGTGGTGCAAAATCCTGCACCGAAGGCTGACAGGAAGTGACAGGGCAAATTATCTGCAATTTAAATAAAAGGACTTATCAACTGGAAACGTGTTCAATTGATGGCACGGAATTAGCTACATGCATGTTTATTTTAGTGAGGCGCTATATTGATATTAATAAAAGTGTGAACAGAATTGTTTGAGTGGATGTTTTTCTAACTGATTGGAAACATATTTACGCTCTACAAGATAAGTGCCTCAGAGAAAATGGGAATGATTATATGGTCAAACATTCCAGGAACAATCTAGCCAGGTGGCTCTCTTGCCTAAGGATCAGAAGGTTGAGAGTTCAAGACCCACATCAAGACTTTGAACTCAGTCTAGGCTGACACAGACAGTGTAGTGCTGGGGGAGTGCTGCAGTATCGGAGATGCTATTCTGGGATTGAGACGTTAAACCAAGGGAGACATTAAAGATAATAATCCTTGCATTTGATATAGTGCCTTACCATCATTGTGTCTCAAAGTCCTTCATAGGATCTACTGTAAGGTGTAGTGATTGCATATTTGTAGGCAAATGTGTCAGTCAATTTGCACATAGCAATGACCAAAAAATAGCCATGAGGTGAATGACCAATTATATCTTAAGGATTGTTGGCCAATGATACAGGTTGAAATTCTCTTGTCTTCAATTGGCAGGTAGTACTTTGATTTAACATTTCATCTGAAGAACAGTACTTCTGACAATGCAGTGCTTCCACACCATTGTATTGGAGTGCCAGCCTCGACTGTAAATTCAAAGCTGCTGATATGAGTCTTGAATCTACAGTGTTACTGACTGAGCCAGGATATCAACAGGTCCCATGGCACTGTTCAAAAAGACAAAGGAGTTTTCTTCTGGTGTCCAAGCCAAAGATCCTCCAGATAATATTGGTCAATACACTCTGTGGCTATGTATAGAAAATTGCTGTGTACAAATTGGCTGCTGTGTTTGCCTCCAAATACAATCAATATACTTTACTGAAAAGATTTTGAAGTATTTTGAGATGTTATAGGCACTACTTTAAATGCAAGGAATATTATTACAATTATTATTATTATTACAAAAGCATTTCACATAACTCACTGCAAAGTGTAGTGTCTATTTTCTAGGCAAATGTGACAGCCAATTTGCACATAGCAATGTCCTACAAACAACCATGAAGTGAATGACCAATTTTATTAGGGGAAATTTGCACAATTTGATTGCACCAGGAGAAACTCCCTTCATTTTTCAAGCAGTGCCATAATAATTTTTATGTCCACTTGAATAGGTACATAAAACCTTGGTTTAACATCTTGTCTGAAGGATGGCACCTCCAACAATGCAGGCCACCCCCCAGCACTGTATTGCAGTGTCAATCTAGACAGTGAGTACAAAGTCTCGATGTGGGGTTCAAACCCACAACCATCTGTCGTACAGGTGAAAGCACTACCAAATGACACAGGAATGTCAAAGGGTACTCAATTTGATATATATATATACATATATATTTTAAAAAGCATCAATGTTAATGTCAAATTAAAAAATAGTGAAATATTTGGAAGCACAACCAGAATATATGATACTAACATTGACTCTGATTTGCTTATCCTCCTTGGGGGTGTGGGGAAGGTAAGCAGGGCCTCCTTGGAGCTGAACTGGCTCCAGGGTGACATGTTTGGCAATGGAATGAGCCAGGTGTCTCCACAGTACTCCAGGCCACTGCTGATGATAGCACAGGCAGCCTGGCTCATCGGCAGGACTTGTCGCTGGGGGCAGGGAATCCTCCCACTCAGCTCCTGTTAACCCTGTAAGCCCAAACCCTAATGGGAAGGATGGTCTTAGCTGGACAAGCAGCGGGAAAGCTTGCCAGACAGGTCCCATCCAATTCCAATATAAGTTGCGGCTTCCATTTGTTAGCAGGTTCCATTTATGTTTGTCCTTTCTCTATGTAAAGCATTTTGAGACATTTTTCTACTTGGAAAACACTATATAAGTACAAGTTGGTGTTGTTCCAAAGCTCCCTGCAAGAAGTAAACTAGAAGTTAAACAAATGATATTGTGGTCGCCAGCATACCTGTCATTAGCTTATTCTTCAGGATGGTATCCTTAATGATGTCGTAAGTTACAAGTTCTGAACAGTTAACAATGGCGTTTCGAGTAATGTTAGGGAAAGTTCCTGAGGAGAGACAGAGGTCGTTGCGATTAATGTGCTAGTAATTGAAATATTACCAATTCAGGATGAGTCAGACTGATCTACGTTGCACATATACTGGACAAAGTACCTTTCCAGAGTCCTCTCACTCCCTCCTCTTTGGCAATAGTTCTATATGCCTGAAGTGTGCTACTGTATCGTTTCTGAGCACCGCTTAAGCTCTTATGTGCTTGGAAACGAACTTTCACTACATCCGTGGGTTGAGCCAATGCCACGGCGAGTCCTCCCGTGGTGCATCCCGCCAAGATTCGTGTACCAATGCTGGCATCTGGAGGGAAAGCGGCAGGAAAAATAAATACTATGTCCCGAAGCAAGTCATCAGATCTCATTCATCATTCCGTTTACCACTGTCAACCTGACCATTATTAATTATCAATAGCTACAATTATTAATTATCCATGCCTGCTTTCTGCGTTTCAAAATGAAAGAAACATAGAACAAAGCTAGAACTAGAATACTTGTGCTGTCCTTGTTTTTATCCTAGAATGGTTTCAAAATACTGTACAAGGTATTTCACAATTTACTTACAAAGCAGCCCAGCTCCCATAGTAAGTCAATCTTTCAAATACTATCTGCATTGCTGTGCACTGAAACACTTTGCTTCAAAATACACAATAAGTAAAATGATTCAATGTCTAGATTATTACTTACGGTCATTGCCTCTTGTGTAAAATTGCTTTACGGAGTCATAAAGCCCAATTCTTATGGAAGCAAAGCTCATCTGCCTTTGAAGCCCGGCCACCAGTCCACTGTACAGACTCCTTGGCCCCTCTGTTTTGATCATTGTGGTGATAGTCCCCAGAACCCCATGATATCTTATACTTTTGCCAGTCACCGCTATTTGTGCTCCTTTCACTTCTCCTTGAATCTAAAACCAAAAACACAGTTAGTTAATCGTGTCGCAATTGCCTGCCCCATTGCGCCCACAAAATACACAGTGAATCCACTTTACAGTATATTCCACGTAGCGCTTTGAGACATCTGAACACCGTGACAAAGCACTGTATCAAATCCAAAGATCATTATTATTATATTGGATAACTGAAAAGAATATCGACTCCATAGAGCTGCTCAGAGATTTGATTCTGTGAAACTATCCTGAATCGGATGAGTTTGATGCGCTCCAAATGCGATGTGTGACCCAAGTCATTGTTTTTTAAAAAAGAAAAAAGAAACCACAGTCAAACAATAATCAATAGGGCTGAACCTGAGCAAACAGACATGTCAGGGGAGGAAATAACTGGAATAATAATAATAATAATAATAATCCTTGCATTTGATATAGCACTTTTCACGTCGGGAGGACGTCCCAAAGCGCTTCACAGAACATACTGCAAAGTGAATTGACTGTATATTTGTGGGCGAACGCGGCAGCCAATTGCGCACAGCAATGTCCCACAAACAGTCGTAGATTGAAAATGACCAATTTATTATTGTTTTTTTTTGGAGGGATTATTATTAGGCTCTGTGTGGAGTAAGGAAACTTGCCCAAGGTTTCGCCCTCTGCCTGGAATTGAACCCAGGTCTCTCGCTTGCAAAGCGAGTGCTCTAACCACTGAGCTACAGGACTCCAAGGAAGCTTCGGTGGTGCAGTAGTTTGATTGCCAGCTCTTGTTACCTGTAACCTGACTTTGGCTGTGTCCAGGGGGAATGTGATGAGATCTGCGATACAGGCAGCAGTCCCAGCACTCAGGAACTGCACTCCTGGGGTGGGAGGCAAATTGGATGGCTTTAACCCCACCATCCTGGCTGTCACAGGCAAGAAACTCTGGGCGAGGGTCTGAAAAACACAACACATCACAAGACGTGAGAAACACGAGCGATCATCATCATTACTGGTCGTATCAAAGCCCCTGGATCAAGGCAGGTAGTCAGGCAGTCAGGTAGTCAGGTAGTTAGTCAGGCAGTCAGTCAGGTAGTCAGGTAGTTAGTCAGTCAGTCAGGTAGTCAGGTAGTTAGTCAGTCAGTCAGGTAGTCAGGTAGTTAGTCAGGCAGTCAGTCAGGTAGTCAGGTAGTCAGTCAGTCAGTCAGGTAGTCAGTCAGTCAGTCAGTCAGTCAGTCAGGTAGTCAGTCAGTCAGTCAGTCAGTCAGTCAGGTAGTCAGTCAGTCAGTCAGGTAGTCAGTCAGTCAGTCAGTCAGTCAGGTAGTCAGTCAGTCAGTCAGTCAGTCAGGTAGTCAGTCAGTCAGTCAGTCAGGTAGTCAGGTAGTCAGTCAGTCAGTCAGGTAGTCAGTCAGTCAGTCAGTCAGTCAGTCAGTCAGTCAGTCAGTCAGTCAGTCAGTCAGTTAGTCAGTCAGTCAGTCAAGTCAGTCAGTCAGTCAGTCAGTTAGTCAGTCAGTCAGTCAGTAGTCAGTCAGTCAGTCAGTTAGTCAGTCAGTCAGGTAGTCAGTAGTCAGTCAGTCAGTCAGTCAGTCAGTCAGTCAGTCAGTCAGTCAGTCAGGTAGTCAGTCAGTCAGTCAGGTAGTCAGTCAGTCAGGTAGTCAGTCAGTCAGTCAGTCAGTCAGTCAGTCAGTCAGTCAGTCAGTCAGTCAGTCAGTCAGTCAGGTAGTCAGTCAGTCAGTCAGTCAGGTAGTCAGGTAGTCAGTCAGTCAGTCAGTCAGTCAGGTAGTCAGTCAGTCAGTCAGGCAGTCAGTCAGTCAGTCAGGTAGTCAGTCAGTCAGTCAGGTAGTCAGTCAGTCAGTCAGTCAGTCAGTCAGTCAGTCAGTCAGTCAGGTAGTCAGTCAGTCAGTCAGTCAGTCAGTCAGTAGTCAGTCAGTCAGTAGTCAGTCAGTCAGTAGTCAGTCAGTCAGGTAGTCAGTCAGTCAGGTAGTCAGTCAGTCAGTCAGTCAGTCAGTCAGGTAGTCAGTCAGTCAGGTAGTCAGGTAGTTAGTCAGTCAGTCAGGTAGTCAGGTAGTCAGTCAGTCAGGTAGTCAGGTAGTCAGTCAGTCAGGTAGTCAGTCAGTCAGTCAGGTAGTCAGTCAGTCAGGTAGTCAGTCAGTCAGTCAGGTAGTCAGTCAGTCAGTCAGTCAGTCAGGTAGTCAGTCAGGTAGTCAGTCAGTTAGTCAGGTAGTCAGTCAGTCAGTCAGGTAGTCAGGTAGTCAGTCAGTCAGTCAGTCAGGTAGTCAGGCAGTCAGTCAGTCAGGTAGTTAGTCAGTCAGTCAGGTAGTCAGGTAGTCAGGCAGTCAGTCAGTCAGTCAGGTAGTCAGTCAGTCAGGTAGTCAGTCAGGCAGTCAGTCAGATAGTCAGGTAGTTAGTCAGGTAGTCAGTCAGGTAGTTAGTCAGTCAGTCAGGTAGTCAGTCAGTCAGGTAGTCAGTCAGTCAGGTAGTCAGGTAGTCAGGCAGTCAGTCAGTCAGGTAGTCAGTCAGTCAGGTAGTCAGGTAGTCAGTCAGTCAGGTAGTCAGGTAGTCAGTCAGTCAGGTAGTCAGGTAGTCAGTCAGTCAGTCAGGTAGTCAGTCAGTCAGGTAGTCAGTCAGTCAGGTAGTCAGTCAGTCAGTCAGGTTGTCAGGTAGTCAGGTAGTCAGTCAGGCAGTCAGTCAGGTAGTCAGGTAGTCAGTCAGTCAGTCAGGTAGTCAGGTAGTTAGTCAGTCAGTCAGGCCATCTGAGTTGCAGGTTTCACTGGATCCAAACACTTGCTGTGAGAGAGAGAGCCACACACATGTGTTCTGCTCCTCTGCATCGCGTTGGTTTTAATCACTGCGCACAACGATTTCCAGCTCCAGAGAGAGAGTCCCTCCCGGACCCCAAATTCCCTTTCACTCTCCCCCACACCCCCCACTTTGCATCCTTCAGACACCCAGTCTGCGCCTGTGGGGGGAGACTTGTTCCCCTGTGTGCGCAGCGTTTGGAAGTGGCAGCGAACACCGGGAAACGTTGCACTGCGAGTGAAGGAGCGACACCCAAAACGCACGGATCGGATCGCTGCCGTTTTAGCAAAACCGGTTAAAAAAAAAGTAGCAGTTGCATCGCAGCTTTGCAGCGAAGCTTTTGCTGAACAAACACAATAGGGCTCTTCAGTGCAAAACGGAAACGATATCACTAATCCGCCGAAACTTGATTTTTTTTCCCCCCAAAAAAAATAAGAGCGGATGATGGATAGTACTGGTGTGTGTCTCAAAACTATCTCGAGTGGGGAATGAGTCAGAGTCCCCACTTACAACGTGAACCAAACCCACTGATGGGTCAGTGAGAGGTGATTATGTCCAAGTGATTCTTCCAATGCCCTCCAGGCCTCGTTCCTTCTGCTTTCTCCCCTTCCAGGTCTGTTCTTACTCGATCCTGGAGAGCTCGATCCTCCTGAACGATTGCATTACTTTTATACCTGTTCTGATTTATGTGATGCAATGCAACGAGGGGCAGTCTCTGAGCCTTCAGGGGTAGGCGTTTCTGAGTTAAGGAGGTGTGCACAAACCAAGACACACACACTCTCACACACACACACACACACACAGCCCTCTGTCCACACCAAGCAATCTGTTTGCTTCCAAGTGAAGGATTTTTGGATGCAATTTCAAATCAGAAACTCACTGCTCACCTAATACTTCGACAGTCGTTTGACTTATCAGTGCCTACTGCCTTACAGGAAGCTTTCTTTCTCTTTTACCACTGGAAAGAGTGGCCAGATCTTGTGCAATAATAATAATAATAATAATCCATATATTTATATTTAATATAACAGCTTTCATTTGGGGCGGACGTCTCAATTGCTTCACAAAATTGCCCATAAATATAGTCAGTTCGCTTTACAATGTGTTCTTTGAAGCACTTTGAGACATCTCAACAATGTGATAAGGCGTTATATTAAATGCAAAGGTTATTATTATTGAAATATACTGTAAAGTCTATCAAATATGTATTTTGTGGGTGAAAGCGGCAGTCAATTTGTACCACAGCATTGTCCCACAAACGGCCACGAAGTGAATAACCAGTCTTAATTGGAAGATTGTTGTCCAAGACTTCTCGCAAACAGCGCATTGCATTTTAAATCTTCTATGTATGGCTTACAGCAGGTAACCCAGAGCCCAAGTTGGTCTTCATCCTTCAACTACTATTATCTTTATATAACAAGAACAGTCAAGAAAGATACGTTATCTTAATCAAATTTATGATCTGCAAGGTGGACAATCCCTGTCTACCTAATTATTGGTGTATCATAAAGTGACTTTGGAACCTGTCAAAGTTCAAAGATTTTTCAAAAATAGAACTTTGACACAATTAGATAATTAGATCGCAATAGAAGGAAACACAGACATTATATATATATATATGAAGGAGGCAGTCAAAACAAAAGGAAATATCTAGCCATGCCCAGCAATGATGGCTGTTTGTGGAACACTATTGCGCACAAATTGATTGCCGCATTCGCCTACAAATACACAGTCACCACACTTGTTCGCCAACAAATATACAGTCAATTCACTTTACATATATTCTGTGAAGTGCTTTGAGACATCTAGAAGACGTGAAAAGTGCTATACCAAATGCAAGGATTATTATTATTAAGGTAAAGCACTTTAAGTTATTTTGACACTGTGATAAGGCAAACACAAGGTTATTAACACTTCAAAGAATGTTTCATTCAAAACATGATCGGGATTTGCTGTTTAATAATAGAAAATCAAAGCAATACGTTCTATAGTCATAAAACTTCAAGGTAATGTATATATTTTTCATTTCTGATTGTTTTAATGTTCTTGCAATAGTTTTACTTGTCCCGCTGCATCATGTCTTCTCCCCTTCTCCAGCCCTATCTTTAGAATTATCTTCCATTTCACTTGCTGATCGATTGATCTGTGCAATTCCAGCTCTGTCTGGTTTTGCTGAATAACTTTGCAATTGTCCTGCTTGTGGTGACCTGCTTCTTTGGGAGCAAAGCTTGAGCCAAAGTGACTCGTTTCCAACTTGGGGGCTTGACCTAGACCAACCAATAAACAGAGCGTGAGCCGGCAGGACTGTCAATGGCAGGGAGGAAGCAATGATCTGAATGACACAATTGGCCGGGGGTTTTGCCGAGGGCGTGTTATTGCAAAGTGGTGTCAGGCTTCTGGAAGTTTGAACGGAATCTGACCACTTCAAATAGTCTTTATAACGCAAACAATCAAGGACATTGTCATTTTTTAAAATAAATAATAAATCAATATATTGCTCACGCATGTATGTTCAGATTATGCAATAAACTGAGGATGTTAAACAACGAAGATAACGAGGTTGAGCACTTCAGCTGCTGCCTGACCGTATTCAATGAGTCCTGTAACACTGGATCTCTGAAGGCTTAATTCTAATAAATGTACAGGTTAGAATACTTGTTATTTTTTTTATTTTATGGGATCCCTTTCTTACGAGAGGCCAGTCCATGAAGCAGGTCATTAACCCCCACTCCCCACCATCACCTAATAGAACGGTTTGCAATTGTACAGTCTATCGTTTTGCGTGCTGTGATAATAATAATCCTTGCATTTGATACAGCACCTTATCACTTTGTCGAAATATCTCAAAGTGCTTACAAGAGATACTGTAAAGTGGATTGATTGTGAGTTTTGTGGACCAATGCGGCAGCCAGTTTGGGTACAGCAATGTCTCACAAACAGCCACGGAGTGAGTGACTAATTTTATTTGGGGGATTGTTGGCTTGGATTAATTCCCTTCCTTTTCGAATAGTGCCATGGGATCTTTAACAACCATCCACCTGAATAGGCAGATGGGATCTTGGTTTAATATCGAAGGACAGTCAACGGTCAACAGTTAACATTAATAGCTCATTGTTGGTCAGGAATCTTTTATTTTATACACGTGGCATTGGGGGTGGAACAATCCAGTAAAACCCAAGGTGTTGCAAAAACAATGTAAAGCTTCAGGTTCCAAAACAACTTCTGTTTAATACACAAAATGATCTACCAATAAGCTGCAGGTAGCTCTGGGTTATTTTTACTCTTCTATGTACACGGTAAAAAGAAGAGGGTTGAAATTCCAGGAGACAAATGTTAAAAGAGAACATTAAAGTCAGTTCATGATTTGGTTCAGTCGCACTCGAATATTCCATAACAAGTGTACAACTTCCCTAAAATCTTCCAGCAAGTAGGAGGCAATGCAACCATCGCACCCTGGCATAACATGCAAGAGCTCTTCTACCTGCTTAGTTAGTGAGATTATTAAGCTCTTGTCTACCAGTGACACAATAGGGAAGAATTACCCGAAGCTGAAGTACAAAGTCATTCAACCCAACCAGTAACTTGCACATTTTGAAATCTTTGGATGCTGTTACCTCAGAAGTCACTCTCTCCATCTACCTCTCCTTTGCCCTTTGCATCGCACAAAACAAACAAAGATACTTTATTAAATACTAGCTGTATGTGTTGCAGCTACGCTTGCAACCAAAGGATCCAATATGGAAGGTAGATTTCAGTGATACCACTCACAAACAATTTAACATGCCATAAACACTGAGTGTACACCTTAAGTAAAACTGCCATACATGTATGATGAGCTTGTTTAGGTCATAGCTCATCATAGGATTTCCCCCCCAAAAGATATGCCCATGACACTTCTCCATGCAAGATCTTTCCGATGAGGTATAAATCATGTCTTTACATCAATCGGTTATTGCAGTCTTAGCGGACACACAGAGAGGCAGACAGACAGACAGACAGACATTTCGTCTTTATCATCAGACCACAGTACATGATGATCCCTTAAACTTTAAAGGCTCATCTTTTTGAAATATCATAAGTGAAACGTATAGATTTTTAAATAAATAAATAGAACTTGTATGCATATATATCATATACGGTATATAGCAAAATCTCATCCTCTTTAATGCAAGGTCATTCAACTTGAAAGATTGTTGCAAAGTAGCTAAATGAAACAACAGTAAATAATGTCATTTCTATTAGTGTACAGTACTCACCAACTTAACCAATATTACACAAATATAAACTTGCCCCAGAAAACACACAAGCATTTAAAAATTGAAAATAATGATAGCCATACAAAAATTATGTCAGTGTCACCCACAGCCTCATACAGTTCATGCTGGTAATCTGCAGCAGTTCTTCAAGAGTTAAGATCATTTCTCTTCAAGAACAGCTGAGGACGATCTTTTAGGCACCACAACCTTTCCACCAGAGTAACAGCAAAGTTTGCGTATATTATTAATCTGTGTTGTTGGATAAAACTCAAATTGAAGTGACACTCGCCATGAGCAGGGGGTTATTTCAATCAGTTTACTGTATATTCTTAATCTTATAAGGGGTTAAATGAGTTATAAAGAGAGGTAAGAGAAGTTATCTTTCACTGGAACAGAAAAAGTTGATAGAGGTGTACAGAATAATGAAGGGATTTGACAGGGTAAATAGAGAGAAGCTGTTGCCACTGATAGAGAAGTCAGTGACTAAGGGACATAGATACAGGACGTGGTGACAAGAAATGCAAAAGGAGAGCTAAGGAGAATTATTTTCACTCAGGGAGTTGCTGGGCTGTGGGATGCCTTGCCAAATAAGGTAGCAGAGGCAGAGTTTATTATGGATTCCAAAAGGGAAGTAGACAGGTAATAGGAAAGTTAGAGGCTTTGATAGGGTGTGGGGATAAGGCTGAGCAAATAGATTGAACAGACAGTTGGTTCTGAGAGCAGGTGCAGACTTTATGAACCGAGTGGCCTCTTTCTGTATCGTAAATATCTCAGATTCTAAAGTGGGGAACGATTGTTTCTGTGAATACAATGATATACACCATGGCTTCCTCGATGCTGACAACCCGATTTCAGTGCCATGGCTGGAAACGACCATCGGCTGCTGGTTATTGGGGAGGTGGCGTTGTTTTGAGCACTTGGAGATTGCACAGGAATAGTTGGGGGAAAGGAAACCATCTCAAACATCAAGAGAATGATAGCCGAGTTAGGTGGAATTGGCTTCAGCAAAGGTGAAGTGGGTTCCCCGAGGAAAGTAGACACCTACAGAATCCTCATCTTCATCCATCAGGTGTTTGGGGACATTCAGTGTGGCTCCATAGGTCAGCACATAGCATGCTACAACTGGATGTAACCATTACCAGCCAAGTGATTCCACGCTTCTTGAATGAAATTCACAACCTGTACATGAGATCTAAATGTCCTGGCAGGAAAACCACCAAATTTAGAAATAGAATGACATAGAATCCACAGCACCTAAACGTATGTCCATTTAGTCCATACTGTTGTTTATACTCCACATGAACTTCCATCTCTCCTAATCCTCCTTTCTGAGCTTTCCACTATAACCCTCTATTCCCCTCTTCCATTCGTCATGTCCAAGTTTAGACTACACCAAC